CCATTAACATCCTAGTGAGCTCCTATCTCCTCTTGACCCCAGTGACACAGTGGACCCATGAAAAGGTGGATAGAGCACTATATCGCTACAGATAATTTGACCACTCAATGACTCTCTCCAGTTATTTGCTATTCCTTTACATAACTCCTCGAAGAATGCTATGAAGAGTTATAAAGCAATTCACTAATCTGTGTAAAAGTTCTTAATAAGGTAGTGAAATCCCTTAAGGAACATTTTTGAAAAATGTGTTCAGATTTTTGATTATCACAAAGATAGGGGCCCCTCCTGGCTGTTTAGTATGTCTTAATCATCTAGTGCTGCTGTAACAGAAATACCACAAGTGGATGGCTTTTAACAAGAGAAATTTATTCTCTCACAATCTAGTAGGCTACAAATCCAAATTCAGGACATCGGCTCCAGGGGAAGGCTTTCTTTCTCTGTCGACTCTGGAGAAAGGTCCTTGTGATGCATCTGTCTTCCCTTGGTGTGGGAGCATCTCAGCATGGGAACCTCAGTTCCAAAGGACGGTTCTGCTCCCGGCACTGCTTTCTTGGTAGTATGAGGTCCCCAAGCCTCTGCTTGCTTCCCTTTCCTTTTATCTCTTGTAAGATAAAAGGTGATACAGGCCACACCCTAGGGAAACTCCCTTTACATTGGATCAGGGATGGCCCAGCCAAACTGATACAAACATTTTTGGGGGCATAATTCAACCCATGACAGTATCTAAGAGACAAAGATGAAAGATGTCCTGCACCCATGGGAGATTCCCATACAAAGAAAAATGTCCCACTCCTTATATACAGTCTTGATAGACATTTGTGCATGTGAAGCTCTTTATAACAATGAATCTGAAATCTATTCCACTTTAAAAATAAACACAATGCATATTGTGCAAAGTTTTAATACGCACGAATTTTTCTAGAAATGCAATAACTGAAAACTAAGAGAAGATTGTAATATTTTTGTTTGGAATTTTACCAAGAATTATTCACTATTCCAGAAAAAAAAGTTACATATCCACAAAGTATATTTTGCAAGGTTTTAATGTATCCAACTTTAACTAGGAATTCAAAATTGAGGGACGATTGTCATCTGCTTTGTTTGGGACTTTATCAAGAATTGTTCCACTTGTAAGAAAAATCATGTCACCAATGTAAATGCCACTTCTGATATTTGAATCATGGACATATTCATAAGGATTCAACATATGTGTGTGTCTGTTTCATTAAGTATTCCAGAATTTATATATTTAAACTGACATTGTTTTATATAATTTCTATATTACAATTATTACCTTGTAATAATTATATAATAAACTACTGTCCTTTTACTTAACTTTATATTAGACTTAGGATATTTCTATACATATATATGTTTGCAAGTAGGTTAGATGATCTATACATTCTATTTCAGGGTATAAAGAAGGCATTAAAAAAATTTGTTACTGTAGAATAATGCTAAAACTAATGTTTGAATCTGCAGAATGATGCTAAATGCTAATGCAGAATAATACCAAATGCTAATGCTAACGTTTGATACTTTAGAACGATACTAAATCCCTGGCTTTTAGACCCTGAAGACCAACAGTGCTATCACATTTGATTTACCTGACATAATCGGATGGATTTGGTTTTTTGTCTCCACTCTGAAATCTCACCCTGATTCTCAATCTGGTCCTCATTCTTGGGATTTATATAATTGTACCAAACGCTCCTCTAGACTAGCTAAGGGAAAAACTTTCTCTATATTTGCAGGAGAGGAGAACGTCATCATTTTGTAAACAGTGAGAACTTCCTACCTCTCATAGGATCTAAACAACTTGTACATTCTGTCTGGGAAATGAGGGAAGGGAGGATTTCCCTCAGTGTTAAATTCAATTAGATCCTCTCCCAGTTTTTTTTTTTTTAAATTCCATCACCTACTTTTTTTTGTTTAAATAACATTTATTATTATCTACAAGTCTTTCTATACTTATTTTTTCATTGTTATTTTTCTCTTCCTATAGAACAAAAGCTCTGTAAGAATAAGGGACAGCACACTGCCTAGGACAGCACCTGAGGCTCAAAAAACTTTGTTTTGAAAAAATGAATAGACCCCCAGCAGCATTATGACTGTATTGCTACAAATGCATTTTACTGAAATGAATACATTGAGACTCAGAGAACTCCCATAACTTTCTCAAGTCAGGATTCTGGCTCAGCTCTCCTCATTCTAACGCCTTTAGTCTTGACTACAACACATGTATCTAGTATGTAGAATGCCTTCATTTAATATGAGTTGAGGGAATTAAACTCCATTTGTACATGAGGTTCCTTTAGCCATGGAGAGAAGCAATCACACCGTGACTGTGTTCATCCTGGTGGGCTTCGCAACAGACCCTGTGATGCAGTTGATTTTATTTGTGGTGTTCCTTGCCGTGTACTCTATGACCCTGGTGGGAAATACCACGCTCATAACATTGATCTGTAATGACTCTCGGCTTCACATGCCTATGTATTTTTTCATTGGCAATCTGTCGTTCCTGGATCTCTGGTATTCCTCTGTTTACACCCCGAAGATCCTAGTAACCTGCATCTCTGAGGACAAAAGCATCTCCTTTGCTGGCTGTGTAGCTCAGTTCTTCTTCTCTGCTGGGCTGGCGTATAGTGAATGTTACTTGTTGGCTACCATGGCTTATGACCGCTATGTGGCCATCTCCAACCCCTTGCTTTATGCTCAGGTCATATCAAAAAGACTGTGCATCTATTTGGTTATATATTCTTATGCTGGAGGTTTTGTCAGTGCAATAGTACTCACCAGCAACACATTCACACTGAATTTTTGTGGTGACAATGTCATTGATGACTTCTTCTGTGATGTCCCACCACTGGTGAAGTTGGCATGTGATGTGAAAGAGAGCTACCAGGCAGTGCTGTACTTCCTCCTGGCCTCCAACGTCATCACCCCCACTGTGCTCATACTTACCTCCTACCTCTTCATCATTGCTGCCATCTTGAGAATCCGCTCCACCCAGGGCTGCCTCAAAGCCTTCTCTACCTGCTCTTCCCACTTGATCTCTGTCACCTTATACTATGGCTCCATTCTCTACATCTACTCTCGCCCAAGCTCCAGTTATTATTCCCTTGAGAGGGACAAAATTGTTTCTACGTTTTATACTGTGGTCTTCCCCATGTTGAATCCCATGATTTACAGTCTGAGGAATAAAGATGTGAAAGAGGCTCTGAAAAAACTCCTCAGGTTAACACAACCAGAAGTCTAAATTGACATAAATTTCTCTAAGTGATAATGGATTGCTTCAGGACTAGTTGGGGAATTGGGTTAAAAAAATACTCTTTTTTATTAAAAAGAATTCATTGAAAACCATGTATTTCTTTGTTTTAGATCTGTTGTTTTGCTATAGTAGTGATGAGACTCTAATTTGCACTACAGAATTAAAAAAAAAGTTACTGTGAGTCAAATTGCATCAGACTTACGCTGACCTCGTGTTTTGAAGAACTTGCTCAATAGGGTTTTCAACGGCTATTAGAGGCTATTAGATGGCGAGACTTTGTCTCACGTACCTTGGCCATGTTATCGGGGGTACTAGTCCCTGGATAAGGACATCCTGCTTGGTAATAAGAGGGTCAGTGAAAGAAAGGAAGACCCTCAACAAGATGACTGACTCAGTAGCTATAAGACAGGCTCAGACATAGCAAAGATTGTGAGGATGGTGTAGGATCCAGCAGTGTTTTGTTTTGTTTTGTTTAAGAAGGGTAACTATGAGTCAGAACCAACCCCAAGGCACCTAACAACAACAAAAGTCAGAGGCTCCTCAGAGCGGGTTTTAACCTCCAATCTTTATGATTCTTGGCAAGCACTTGACAATTTTTGCCACCCAGGGACCGCTATATAGTATACTTCCAGTTTAATGTTAATACAGTTTTTAAAAATAAATAGTTTAATGTGAAACCAAGAAAGTCAGATTAATATTAATATAGTTTTTTTTAAAAGCAATATCTTGGTTTTATGTAAAACAGATAGGTGTATGTATTACTTATGAGATCCCAAAGGATTAATTTTTACGTGGCTATTTCTCCTGCAATTGACTCAAATTTTCTTTTTTTCCTTATGTGATGGTTGTTATGGGAATATGAGAAAAAGTTTATATGGATCGTTAAAATTTGCAGAATACACCCCAAAACCTTCTAGTCAAGTACTCCAAGGGCTTCCGTGGTGATAGAAGAATACAGAACATTAAGAATTTTGTGATGAAAAGAGAGTGAACAGTGACTCATCAGTAAATAAATATAGAGCAGAGGAAAGATCAGAAATGCTAGAACTAATACAAAGGGTGAAGTGGCTGTAATTATTTGTCCTAAAATTTTAATTTAGATGCATTTTGTACAGGTGCTCATTCCAGCAATAGTTACAATCTTTCAGTAGCAAAGTTCTAACTTCTGAGCTCCAAAGTCCCTATTTGTAAAATGGAACTAAAAATTCTTAACTTGCGGTGTTCTAGAGAGTATTGAATAAAATATTTACTAAACATTTGATACGTGTCAGATGTTAAGCTGTAAACTTCTTTGTAGTTAAAGTTTTTTGGTAGAAGAAAACAAATGATAAGTCTAGAATATAGTGGCTTTAAAAAAAATTTATTTGTCTGTTTTATTTTGTTCCACATGAGTCTGTTATTTTCCCCTAGTGGGGCCATATAGGGTGGGGTGGCAAGAGGGTCAATACTGTGGTATACTCACTGTATGAGGGAGAAATCACTCTTTCTAAGGTGACATACAAATCTAAAGAGAGATCCTTCTCCATGAATTTAGTCATTCTTTTTTATAATCCAAACACCTCCTAAACAGTAACATAACAATAAAAATTAAAGAATTGTTTACTTAGTATTTCATTAAGTCTAACTTGTGGAATTTAATTGAAATAGATCACCATTTTCAAACATGTCTATAAGTCAATGATTTGGAAAATACAATAAGAGCATTCATTAAAAAGATAAATGATGACCTTCATCCTTGTGGTCGTATTGTCTGTATTGCTTTCCTGAAAGCCTCTTTGACATCTTTATTCCTCACACTGTAGATGAGAGGGTTGAGCAATGGGTTCACCACGGTGTAGAACAGGGCAGCCACTTTGTCTCTCTCCAGGGAGTAGGTAGAACTAGGCCTTGCATACATGAAGAGCAAGGATCCATAGAAAAGCATGACTGAGATCAAGTGGGAAGCACAGGTGGAGAAGGCTTTGCACCTTCCTGAGGCCGAGCAGATCCTTAGGATAGCCAGGAAGATGTTGAAATAAGAAATCAAGATGGCAAGAATGTTGGAAAGGACTGTGAAGCCCACCACACCCAGGAGCACTTTTTCATAGACCTTTGTGTCAGTACAGGACATTTTTACCAATGGTGGCGCATCACAGAAGAAGTGGTCAATGATATTCTTACCACAGAAACTCAGGTGGAAAGTGTTGGCAGTATGAGCTATGGCATTCAAGAATCCTCCGATATAGGAGCCAGCAACTAGCCCAGTACAGAGAGAACTGGACATGGTACCTGAATAGAGTAAGGGGTTACAAATTGCCACATGGCGGTCATAAGCCATGGCTGCTAGGAGATAGCATTCAGTGTAGGCTACAACACAGGAAAAGAACATCTGGGCCCCACAGCCAGCCAAGGAAATATGCTTATCTTCTGAGACACAATTAGCCAGGATTTTGGGGGTATACACAGAGGTGTACCAGAAATCTAGGAAAGACAGATTGCCTATGAAAAAGTACATAGGTGTATGAAGATGGGAATCAATTCGGATTAAGATAACCAAGGTCATGTTCCCTGACAAGGTTATCAAATAGAGCATCAGAAATATTCCAAATAGAATCAGCTGTAACCGAGTGTCTGCTGAGAAGCCGACCAAGATGAATTCAGTCAGGATGGTGCGATTTCCCACTTCCATGTCCAGAGAGGTGAAAGTCTGATTAAAATTATGAAAGAAAAAAAAAAAAAAACACAGTAATTTTTCTATTGTAAGAATTAAATGAAGATATCAATTAAGGCATCTTGGTAAAAACATTAGTGAATTTGGGCTGATATCCCCGTAGTCAACTGGCTTCGCCCTGGCTCTAATGGCTGTGAGAGAAAGCTGAATTCACGAGAGGACTGCAATTTATTTCAATGTTTAAAATATTTGCTTTTGGACTAAGCCCAAGTCAGCATTCTAATTGGAATGCTAACCCGAGTACTCTAGCTCAAGGTCTACTGTTCTTGCTTTTTAAGAAGTGAGGTACGGGTGTACTTATTTTTCAAATATGGTTAATGATGTTCAGAAAGGACATGATTGATTAATGACACTGTGGGAAAAAGCAGTTTGGGGTCCTGAAAACTATTCCATTTCTCTTTTAGTATTTAATGGATCTCTACCCATTAGCACATAAAGTACAGATGCTTTAGCCCTACACCTGAGGTTCTCCAAAGGCTGGATTTAATCTGCCTTCCCAACCTTCTCTCTGGCTACTTGTCTTTATTCACTTAAGATTAGATTACTTCCATGATCTATTACCCCATAATAATCTCATACAGACTAGGAGCTTCACAGGTAGATTTATACTGTTGTGTTGTCATCCATTTGTACACTATAATATTATTTCTGAATCTACTTAAGCTTGAGTACATGTTGCCTTGGCTGGAAAGTGATTAATATATGTTCGATGTGTAAAAACATTGTGTTGTACTCACCATTTCAAAAGTTATTATGAACTTTCTCTGTTATGTTATCACTTGTTTATACAAGGAAACATATCTGGGACTCAGTGGAGTCACTAGGGTTGGTGTCAATCAGTGTGACAACTCCTGGTGTCAACCCCCCCACCCCACGTGGACCTCCTCCCATACCAGACCATACATAATCCTTGGTAATGTTTTTGTACTCTTACTCGTAAACATAATTCCCTTATATTACTCCTTCTTTTCCTTTAATTACTACTTCATTCTCAAAAAGTTATTGATATAAGTTCACAAATAATAATTACCACAATATTGTAGCTAAAACACCAGAAAATTTGACAAAATGAATGACAATAAAAACACTGGCAGCAAAAAAAAACAACAGCCAGTGCTTGTGATGTGTGTAGAAGAAACCACGTAATTGGAAACATCACTGTAATTGGATAATAATGACAGCTCTGACTTGACGGCATTAGAAGGTTTAAAAAGTAAATTAACATAGAGTTTTAGCCTTGTAGGTATATTGACACATGAAACCTGGGCTTATGAAAAGTGTTTTTGTTGTTATAACTATAGGGATATTTGTATAAAAAATAATAAATTTCTGCTAAAACACTGCACAAAAATTTGATAGACAGTATTTTGGTGTCACCCCCTCTGACAGTGTCACCTGGACTGGTTTGCACCCCCTATACCACTGTAGTGATGCCACTGCTGGGACTTATTAGATACGTTTTAATACTAGATATTTAGGCTTAAAATGGAGAAACCTGGATGGAGCCAGTTACTATAGTTCATGTTTTTTTTCTCCTAAGATGTAAATAAGTAATAAAATAAACTTTCTGGTCTACTGCTCAAAAAGTCTTCCCAGAAGAAGAGATATTTAAATGAGATCCAAAAAAAAAAAAAAAAAAATTGACAAGCTTGAGCCCGATGGCAGTCCCTTGTAGGGGTAAGGAGAGAGAGAGAGCAGTTAGGTACCTGAGCCCTTGCATGGGAGAGAACCTGGTGAGTTCAAGGAGCTGAGAAAGGTTAAAGAAAGATGGTGTGGAGCAAGGTACTGGCAGACAGATGAGCCAGAGATGTCACCAAATCATGAAGCTTATTGAAATCCATATTAAGAACTTTGGCCTTTAAGCCAGAACAAATGGAAGCCACTGCCATTATGAGGAAGTGTAGGTATACCTCACTTTATTGTCCTTCGCTTTACTGCACTTCACAGACATTGCATTTTTCACAAATTGAAAGTTTGTGTCAACTCTGTGTGGAGCAAGTATATCAGCGCCATTTTTCCAGTAGCACGTGCTCACTTCATGTCTCTGTGTCACATTTTGGTAATTCTCAAAATATTTCAAACTTTTTCATGATTATTTTATCTGTTATGGTGATCTGTGATCAGTGATCTTTGATGTTACTATTGTAATTGTTTTGGGGTGCCACAAACAGTGCCCATGTAAGATGGTGAACTTTATGGATCAATGTAGTGTGCGTTCTGACTTCTCCAACAACTGGCCATTCCCTGTCTCTCTCTGTTTCTTCTGGCCTCCCTATTCCCTGAGACACGACAATATTGAAATTAGGCCAGCTAATAATCCTACAATGGCCCCAAGTGTTCAAGTGAAAGGAAGCGTTGCATGTCCCCCACTTTAAATTAAAAGCTAGAAATGATTAAGCTTTGTGAGGAAGGCATGTTGAAAGCCAAGATAAGCCGAAAGGTAGGCTTCTTGCACCAGTTAGCCAAGTTGTGAATGCAAACGAAAAGTTCTTGAAGGAAATTAAAAGTGTTACACCAGTGAACACATGAATGATAAGAAAGTGAAATAGCCTATTGCTGACATGGAGAAAGTTTTAGTGGTCTGGATAGAAGATCAAACCAGCCACAATATTCCCTTAAACCAAAACGTAATCCAGAGCAAGACCTTAACTCTCTTCAATTCTATGAAGGCTGAGAGAGGTGAGGAAGCTGCAGAAGAAAAGTCTGAAGCTAGCAGAAGTTGGTTTATAAGGTTTAAGGAAAGAGGCCATCTCCATAACATAAAAGTGCAAAGTGAAGCAAGTGCTGATGTAGAAGCTGCTGCAAGTTATCCATAAAATCTAGCTAATTGGTGAAGGTGGCAACACCAAACAATAGATTTTTAATGTAGATGAAAGAGCTTGTCTTGGAAGAAGATGCCATCTAGGACTTTCGTAGCTAGAGAGGAGACGTCAATGCCTGGATACAAAGCTTCAAAGGACACGTTGACTCTCTTGTTGGGGCTAACGCAACTGGTGGCTTTAAATTGAAGCCAATGCTCATTTACCATTCTGAAAATCCTAGGGCCCTTAAGCATTATGCTAAGTCTACTCTGCCTGTGCTCTATAAATGGAATAACAAAGCCTGGATGACAGCATATCTATTTACAACATGGTTTACTGAATATTTTAAGCCCACTGTTGAGACCTACTGCTCAGAAAAAAAAGATTCCTTTCAAAATATTACTGCTCATTGACAATCCACCTAATAACCCCAGAGCTCTGCTGGAGATGTACAAGGAGATTAATGCTGTTTTCATGCCTGCTAACACAACAACCATTCTGCAGCCCATGCATCACGGAATATTTTGACTTTCAAGTCTTATTATTTAAGAAATACTTTTTTTAAGGCTATAGCTACCATAGATAGTGATTCCTCTGATACAGCCGGGCAAAGTGAATTGAAAACCTTCTGGAAAGGATTCACCTTTCTAGATGTCATTAAGAACATTTGTGATTCATGGGAGGAGGTTAAAATATCAACATTAACAGGAGTTTGGGAAGAAGTTGATTCCAACCCTCATGGATGGCTTTGAGAGGTTGAAGACTTGTGTGGAGGAAGTAACTGCAGATGTGGTGGAAATAGCAAGAGAACTAGAATTACAAGAGGAACCTAAAGATGTGACTGAATTACTGCAATCTCATAATAAAACTTTAATCGATGAAGAACTGCTTCTTAAGGATAAGCTAAGAAAGTGGTTTTTTGAGATGGACTCTACTCCTGGTGAAGATATTGTGAACATTGCTGAAATGACAACAAAGGATTTATAATATTATGTAAACTTAGTTGATAAAACAGTGGCAGAATTTGAGAGGACTGACTCCAATTTTTAAAGAAGTTCTACTGTGGGTAAAATGCTATCAAACAGCATTGCATGCTACAGAGAAATCTTTGGTGAAAGGAAGGGTCAATAGATGCAGTAAACTTTACTCTTGTCTTATTCTAAGAAACTGCCACAGCCACTCCAACCTTTAGCACCACCACCGTGATCAGTCAGCAGCCATCAACATTGAGCCAAGACCCTCCAACAGCAAAAAGATTACAACTCACTGAAGGTTCAGATGATGGTTAGCATTTTTTAGCAAAAAAGTATTTTTTAATTAAGGTATGTACATTATTTTTTAGACGTAATGCTATTGCACACATAATAGACTACAGGATAGTATAAACATAACTTTTATATGCACTAGGAAACAATAAAAATCGTATATCTTTATTGCGGTGGTCTGGAACCAAACCCGCAGTATTTCTGAAGTATGCCAGTAATATGATTGGATTTACATCTTCAAAGTCCACTCTGGCTGCAGGTCAGAGAATGTATTGAAGGGAAGCAAAGTTTCCTCTTAACTAGGAGCTTCTGAAATCTTTATTCTTTTATCACTTGCAGCGACAAATCTTGTAAAAATAAAGGCAGAAAAGGGAGGCATTAAAACATTCCCGATAGAATCACTAGGGATTATAAAAGCTGTGACCTTGTCCAGGTAGACAGGACTCAACGACTAGCAGTCTCAGACTCCTTACAAACAGGAATTTATATTTACATAGTAATTTATCCTCAGTGTGCTGAGGAAGGCTTAAAGATGAGATTCTCTCGAAATAGTATTGGTAATGAAATCTTACCACCTCTATTTTTTCACAAGAAACTATGAAGTCTTGGAAAGGCTAGATAAATAAATTTGATAAAAACTTTAGAACATTCCATTAAAAGACTCCATATTATATCATCATTCTCACTTCTGTGTGCAATATAATTGTATTACAAATTCATCGCATTAATTAGTACCCAAAATCTAATGTTTCAAATAGATAAAGGTTAACTAAATCACAACCCCCCCACCCCCCCCCAAAAAAATGTGGCCACAATTGTTTCCAGGTCTTGATTTCAAGAGTGTAGTCTATTTTTCCACCCCTTGAATCTGGGTGGCCTGTGGCTTACTTTGTCCGATAGGATGCTGCATAGGCAGTGCCCTATGAAT